CAGGTCTCGCTAAGCCCTCACACATTCCTCACCTTGGCTGCCTGCCAGGCTCCTGTGATGACAGCCAGCCTCCTCCTAGGGCCCCTCCTGCCCCACAGGCAGCTGAACCAAGATCAACCGACTCTTCCCTTTAGGAGCTGTGGCCCCCAGAAATTGCTGAGACAATGACAGCCTGACCTTCTTTCTAGATCCTGTGACAAAAAGTGTCAAGAAAAAAAGCTTGTCCTATCTTCCTAGTAAATTGCACTTAAGGAAAACCAGGAACAAGGCTGATTAACAAGTTTATAGTGGAACTTATCTTTTATTATCGAGGCAGGCAGCAGCGGTACCACTGAGCTAAATCCCTTGCCCTGACTTATCTTTTATTTTTGAGAAATTACCTAACTGTTGATCCTCAATTTGCTCTGTACAATTAAAACTAGAATACTTCTACCTTCCAAGATTGCTTTAGAGATATATACGATAGGCAATAAATACAGTAAGTGTTGAGCCTCTCAAGCTAATCTGGAGGCATAGTGTCCCTAAAGGCAGAGCTTTGGGAGCTAGAAGAAGGTAGGGAGAGGTGGAAAGAGGAGTAGCCCAGGCCTGACTTCTGTTCAACACGTGCCCACCCCACACACACCCATCAGAGGATACTACTGTGTGCAAGAGCTTTGCAGAGGGTCCTCACACAGCTATCTATAATGTCCCTGTTGAACAGACATCAAAACTGAGCTTGTGAAGGCTTGCTGGGCATTGGGAAGCAGGTCAATGGGACTGTAAAGCCTGCTTTCTTGGCCCTATAATTTAATTTCTGGTATTTAACACAAGTAATTATAGAGTAGATTTTTCCCCCTAAAACAAAGAGAGAATAAAAAAAGAAAAAAGAAAGAAAACCAAACAAACCAGAACTATAGAAGACTAAGAACCTTGGTTCTATGCTAGGCTGACGTGATAAGCATGGAACTGGCTCACAGATGAGGGCCCCAACCAAGCAGGTAAATCCTACCAAGAGAAAGTTCTCATCATTGCTGGGGTCTTTGTGTGTTTGTTTGTTTTTTGGGTACCGGGGATTGAACTCGGGCCCTTGCACTTGCGAGGCAGGCAGCATAACCACTGAGCCAAATCCCGGGCCATTGCTGAGGTCTTTGACTTCTGGCAAACTGAGGTCTCTGGAGGTTTTTCGGGCCTGATATAACCTCTCCAGTTGGGCCTTATCCTGTGTCATTTCTGGACCAAAAGGTACTAAAGGAAGCAATTAAAATGGTTTTGGTTGCAAAATTAGCAGAATGACCAAATGACCTTAAAGAAAAACTTTAAAAAGTTTTTGGCAAGAATACTAAAGGTCAGCGGTTGACAAAGGGAGGCAAAGGCAACATTGGTGGTGGAACCTTAGCACCCACTTTTCCCTACTATTTTCTTAGAGTCACCATTGGGGCAGGGGTGTAGCTCCGTGGTGGAGTGCTGGCCCAGCATGCATGAGGACCTGGGTTCATCCCCAGGGTCCAAATAAAGCCAAACAACAAAAACACATACCCTATCATCTCCATCAGCCATCTACTGCCATGCCAACACACACGCACTCACGTGGGACGCTTGTAACAAGCACACACTCAGCAAAAGTCTACATAAGGGAAGCTGCAAGCCCTTCCTTGAACTTCCACGGGAACTCCAAGGTTAGGCTCCTCCAGTAGGAAGTGGCAGCTCTAGAAACTGCCTAGTCTTGCCGAGTCCCTTATGGCTAGCATGGGCCTTCTCATGCAGTGTGTGTGTGTATAATTTTTGTTTTATTAATATGTTTGCAATTCACGTTTGCAATCTTCTTGGGGAATGATTACATGCACATATTACAGCTTGTTTCTTTTTTTTTTAAAGCCCCTTCCCTTCCCTTCCCCTTCCCCTCCTCTCCCCCCTTCCTCAAGTTACCTTAGCCCCCTTTTGTACTCATTGATACTATTGTCTTAGCTCATGTTATGCCATATAGTGCTTACAGTGATTGGGGTTATTAGATTCCTGTACAAAGCACATCTTTATGCCTCTCATTTCCCCTCTTCTAGTTCCCTCAGACCATTTCTCTATTGCAAGAGATCTGTCCCCTTGTCCCTTTCTATCCACCCTTTATCATTTTGTTTGCACTTTGTCTTACTCAAATGAGAGATACCATATGGCATTAAATCCTGTGCGTCTGGCTTATTTCACTCAATAGTATATTTTCCAAGTGTATCCATTTTCCTACAAATGCCTCAAGCGTGTCATTCTTTATAGCCATGTAGTATTCCATTATAAAAAGATACAACATTTTCTTTATCCAATCATCTGTTGATGGGTAAATAGGCTGCTTCTGGGATTTAGCTCTTACGAATAGTGCTGCTATAAACACTGGTATGCATGTACTGCTGTAGTATGATATAGCTCTTTGGGGATGATACCTAGCAGATGGAGAACTGGGTCATACGGAGTTTCTAACTTTATGTCTTTCAGAAATCTCTGTATTGATTTCCATAATGGTTGTACTAGTTTATATCCCCCCCTAACAATGCAAGAGGGTTCCTTTTTCAACACAGCCACACCAGCATTTGTTATTGTTTGATTTCTGAATGATTGCCATTTTTTACAGAGTAAGATGGAATCTTAGATGCTGAACATTTTTTTATGTATTTGTTGACCATTTGTATTTCTCCCTCCGTCAGGTGTGCACATTTCTCTTACCCATTTCTTGACTGGGTCTTTAATTTTAGGTGGTTTAATGTTTTTGAGTTCTTTGTATAACCTAGGTATTACTCCTCTGAGGAGGAGTTGGCAAATTTTTTTCCCCATTCTTCACTATACTGATTCTTTTGCTGTACAGAAGCTTTTTAGTCTCATATAATTCCATTTGTTGATTCTTGCTATTTCTTCTGCAACTGAAGTGCTGTTTACCCTTTCCTATATCTTCAAGTTTTTACCTATTTTATCTTCTAGAAGGTTTAATGTTTCTGTTTTAGCATTTAGATCTTTAATTCATTTTGATTTTAATTTAGTATATGGTGAGAGATAAGGGTACAATTTCTTGTCAAGTTTCTGCACATCTGCTGGCCCTCTGCTTCTATCTTGTTTGCTATTTTCTGGTGATATCTCTCATGTACTTGCTTCCTAATTCACTTAACACAAATAGCACTTACCAGTCAGTATACTGAACTATGTTTTAAAGGCTCTACATATATCTCTCCTCTCCCCTCCCCTCCCCTCCCTGCCTCCCTGCCTCCCTCTGTACAAGATCTCATTACACAGCCCAGGCTGGCCTCAAACTTGCATCGATCCTCCTCCCTTAGTCTCCTGAGTGCTGGGATTACAGATGTGTGCCACCATGCCAGGCTAAGGCTCTACATATATTAACTCATAAAATTCCCTAAGGTGGCAACTATCACCTTTTTTTCAGAGAAGAAAATGAGGCACACCAAGACCTGTCATGTAAAGGTACAAGATCCCAATAATGAATGTAACTGTACTGTATACCTAAAATGTACAACAACAACAACAACAACAACAAAAAAAAGAAAATGAGGCACAGAGAAATAAAATAACTCACTTAAGAACAGACAGCACACACTTGGTTATAACAGGCTTGGGCACCTCTCTACACACAGCATTTTAACTTCAAACCCCAGGGCTAGCTATACTTCCCAGAGCCAATCCTCAAGAGAAAATTAACCAAGCAGCCCTGTTAATAATATAACTAGTACAATGCTTGTGCTCCAGTACTCGTATAAGAGCACAACGTTTAAGAAATGTAATGATAAGCTTGTGATTTGTTTTCTTCCTCTAGTATTACGCTAAATTTTGATTCTCTGAAGAATCCCCAAAATTCGGATCAATCTGTGCAGATGCAGCGGTAACACTGCCTGTTGCCTGTGTGCACCCACTGGAATTTGTGGTGGCAGCAGGGGGTGGGGCAGGGGGCAGTAGCTTGGAAGCAGATCCTGGAGGCCAGGGGCATTCCTAAGAAATACTGTTATCAGTAATGCTCTCCACAGCACCGAGACTCACACGGTGTGGGAAAACATGTACATCTCCAAGCAGAAGTAATGCAACTCTGAAGGGAAAGCAGCCCAAGAAACACTTTATTTTACACGTACATTCCTGAGTGTATTGCCCATGTGTGAAAATACATGTCTAAAATAATTCTCAAAGACCTTAACAAGTATAAAATAAAATTTAGGTGATAAAAGTGTGCCATATTTTTCCTTTCTTAGCTATATAAAAAAAATAGTGTCAAGATTTAATAAAATACAGAACTTAGCATCAAAACCAGCAGAAGGAACAGTATCTCCAAGACTTAAGAGACATCAGGACTATTGTGTCTGTATTTTCTTTGGGAGGAAAAAAGACCCTCTAAGTAAGCTTGGAGGTAGAGAAGTGACTGTTTAGATACTGCAATATGCATGTAAAGATCCAGAAAACAGTATCTATTTTAGCTTAGAGTACTAAATATTTTAGCTAAAAATCTAGACACTGTGTGGATGGGCGGCTCCACCCCAGTGATGACCCCAGCATTCTCCATGGGAAATGGGGATAATGACACTACTGAACCGAGCTGCAGTGCATGGAGACTGGAACGCCCCTCCAATGAGTGTGCTGCTTGGGAGACAGTAACATTCCCTACCTGTGAGTTAGTGCCAGCAGCCAACAATCAAGACGACGCAGCTTCTGCCACAAAGCAAAGCAGCAGATGAATACAGCTGCTACCTGCTGTACTAAGCGTGAGGCTGGAGCTTCTGCCACGGTGGTGCTCTCTGCTTAATGAAGGCTCAGTCAGACACAACATCTTTTGAACAAACAGAAGCCTTCCTTTATATCCAGAAACAAAAGCAGCCCTGCTGCAGTTTTATTTCCCCCGCTTCTGTAATCAGATCCGAATCTGAAAGGGCTCCTTCTTCGGACACAAGCCAACCCACTCAGCAAATCTCTCCAGATACAGCCACCCCCCCATACACAGAAGAAAAGTGTTCTTAAAGTTATCTGGAGAAACAATGTGCCAATACTTTTGCCTGCATTCCAAAATACAGCAAACTTCCCGTCCCTGGTGCAGCCAACCGAGTCCCTCAGAAGGTCACCGTAGTAGCACTTGACGCCGCTCACAACTAGCCCCAGAATGCGGCCCTGATTGCTGAAAGCTGCTCCCATCATTTCAAGGCAGGTGCAAAATGTCATTTCTTTTTGCTGAGGAAACCCTCCGAAGTGCTGGAAGCAGCCTGGCCACATACTGAGTTACTGAGCGGCTATGTGAAAATCAGTAGAGAGCTATTTTTTTAAAAAATAAAAATTAATCCATGCTATTTAACACTGCTAAGTAAAGCACTTCAGGATTATATTATATAATGTCTGTTGGCCCTGTATTACACCAATGACACTATAACCCAGATAATCCTCAATTATTATATTGATTGCCACAAGTATAAAACTACATTATTTATAACAAGATAATTTGAACAACCTGAAAAACAAACCAAAATAATAACTAAAAATAAAAACCACCGACTTCAATGTAAAAATTCCATTTTAGCTTTTTATTTAACGTGGGATATTTCAGACTAACAATAGCACTTTAGATCTGAAGAGATCTTGACAACTTAAACTTAAAACATGCTATTTACAAAAGGAGCAGTACCACTGAATGCTTAAGCATATTCAAGAAGAAGAAAAATATCTTGCTTTAATGAAAGATTTAAAATAGATGATTTTATAGTAAAATTGTATAGCATATTATTTGCAGGGGAGAACAGACAAAACTACACTAAGTTTTAGGGTAGATGTTAATTTTCAGCACTTACAACACATGAGATGTGACAGTTTCCAAGTCACCTGCATGTCGTAAGCTTTTGCCCTCTGCTCAGTGGCTTTGTTCATTGTGCAGATAAGAGGCTAGTGGAAAAGAGATGCTTTCATTGAAAGGTCCCAAACAAATGTTCTCAGAAAATGAAGATATTGTTCTAGAACAGAGACCAACTGTTCAGGTTAACATCAAGAGACTTTAGTAGCACACTGACTTGTATTTGCTACTGTAAGACAGAACATGTGTATTCTTCAACTTACAACAGCATTAGGTTAAAAACCCTGAAATTAATAATACTCTGTGTCAGAAACAGATTTCTCCCAAATGACCAAGCACAAGAAAGAGAAGAGTGAAAAATAGTTTGTCTTCAAACTTTTCATGTAACTTCATGTGGATGGAAACACTAGAAATATTTTAAAGATAAAACAGATGGAAAATACAGATAACTCACCATTAAACAGTAATCTACACAAAAAACTCAACATGAATCAAAGTCCCAAATGTAAAGGCTAAAACTATAAAACTGTTGGAAGAAAACCTAAGAGTAAAGCATTATGACCTGTGATTAGCAATGGCTTCTTATACGATACCCAAGGCATAAGCAACGAAAGAAAAAAATAAACTGTATTCTGTCAAAATTTAAAAACAAAAAGCCTTTGTGCTTCAAAGGATACCACCAAGGAAGTGAAAAGAGCTGATGGCACATAACTAATCTCCTGCAACCTGGGAGGCTGAAGCAGGAGCATCACAAGCTCTAGCCTAGCCTGGCAACTCTGCAACATAGTAAGACTCTTATCTCAAAGTTTAAAAATCTTTTTTTTTTTTAAATCTTTATTTTTAAAGGGCTGAGTTGAAGCTCACTTCGAAGGCTCTGTGTTCAATCCCCTGCACTGGGAAAAAAGAAAAAGTGAAAAAATTCACACAGTGGGAAAAAATATTTTTTAAAAATTTATCTGATAGAGGCCCTGTATCCAGAATACACAAGGAAACTTAACAACTCACCAATTAAAAAAAAAAAACAATTAAAATGGGCAAAATATTTAAATGAACATTACTGCAAAGAAGATACACAAATGGCAATGTGCAAAAGAAATGACTAACACTTTTCCTTAGTCATTAGAAAAATTAAATAAAAACCACTGTGAGATACCATCTCATGCTTGTTGGAACCAAAAAGAGAGGTTATGTAGAAAGTAGAACCTTTCTACATTGTTGGAGGGGATGTAAAATGGTGTAGATATCGTAGAAAACCGTCTGGTAACTCCTTAAATGATTAAACACAATTATCAAAGGACCCAGCAATTTCTATGTGTGTGTCCAAGAGTAATGAAAAAAGACATCCACACTCTTAACTTATACAAAAATGTTCGTATCAGTAGCACTGATAACAGTCTAAAGTGAAACAATTCGAATGCCTATCAACTGATGAACAGATAAATGTTAGATCTGTGTTGTGAAATATTATTTAGCCACGACAAAGAATGCAATACTGACACATGCAACAAACATGATAAACCTTGTAAACATTTGGCTAAGTGAAAGACCAGTTACAAAATACCATATTCCGTATAACTCCGCTCATACAAAATGCCCAGGATAGGCAAATCCATACAGGTAGAGAGCAGACTGATGGTCACTAAGTGGGAGGAGAGAGAATAGAGGAGTGACTACTGATAGAGACATGGTTTCTTTTACTAGTATAAAAATCATCTGGAATGAAAGGTGATACTTGCACCACTGTCTGAATACACTAAACCTACTGACCTTCATATTTTAAAAGAACAAAGTTGATGCTATGTTAATTAATCTTCAATACAGCTGTTAATAATTAAAAAAAAAAAACTAATCTGTTCTGTGCAAACAGCACAGACCTTAGAGTTCGGAGTCTGAAGTCCTGCTCTGTGTTTGCCTTCAAACTTGCCAAACACCAGGGCTTTTTAGCCTTGGTTTCTACATACATCATCCACTTGGCTGGGGTGCTAGGGTACAGGTTTTCTCTGACTCCAGTGAGGTTACTCTATGATCATGGTGGATACTGAAACAAAGGAACAGTTTCACTGCATATCTGGGGCCAACAGAAATTGTACATTCTATTCAGGTTTGAGTACTGTCATCACATGAGGCATAATCATCAATACTTTTAAAACAAAGGATTTCAGTAAAACCTGCTGAACCAAGCCATCCCTGGGAGTCCCAAGCACCTACTAGTGCCAAAACCTATTCCAACTCTTTCCTGCCAGTCCAGATGAATTAATCTAGCACTGGCAGTGAAAAACTCTCCATATTTCTTTTCCTGGATGAGATGCTTCAAGAAACTCCATATTGAACAATATGTTCTCATTGCACAAATATTTGGAAGGGTGTGACTAGCAAAAATTAACAGAAAGCCATACCTTGGTAAGAGGTATTTGAGAAACAAAGGAAAACATTGCCAGCCCTTTCAGGTGGCTAAGTCTTTTCTGCCAAGAGTGGGCACAGGCAACACCCTTCCCGAGCCTCCTCCTGCCTCCTTTCTCAATCCTCAGGATCTGCCCCTGGTCTGGGATCCCAAAATGCACAGGTGGATGAGAGAAGAGACAACCACTGCAGGCAGCTTCCCCTGGATGTCCCCAGCCACTCAAGCTCAGTGGGTCTTGTCTCCACCACCCAAGGCAAAGTTGCTTCTTGATTCCTCTTTTTGGAGCAGGCAATTACTATCTATGTAGATTTTATATTAGTTAGAAGGGTGAATTATAGAACTTTAAAAATATGTATCACTTTCATTCAGGACGCCCCCACATGTCTGAGCATCTTCTATGAGCAGAAAAGAAATTATCCATAAGTAGCAAACCTATGACCTATGTGTGTTAGTTACTTTTCCCACATTGCTGAGGCAAAATATCCAACACCCAAAGTTAAAGGGGAAAGGTTTATTTAGCTCACAGTTTGTAGAGGTTGCAATGTGTAGGACAGTTCATCAGAAATGCTTACCGTCCACCAGGGCAGCTCAAATGGAGAGAGCACTGGTTACATTGTCACGTGAAGAGAGGAAGAAACAGAGAAAAGAAAATAAATGGCATAAATAAAAGTCCTGTCAAAATTATTGTATATGGTACATTAATAATTTCTTATCTTTGCATATAAATTAGAAATCTGATGAAAAATGACCAAGGCAAGCTAGATGACTGAAGCTGAAGATTCCTAGTTTGTGAGGAGCCAAAGTTCTATGTGTAAATATGATTTCATTTGTTTTGTAGGATTCTAAATCTCAGTTAATCATCTCATTGCAGCATGACAAATTATCTCCTCCTCCTAAAAAGTTTTAAATCCCTATAGTAAATCACAAACATTCAATTAGCATATACGATAATCCCAGAATCAAGCTACACAGTATTAAGCTAAATTCATCATTCTAACAAACAAATGTAAGTTCAGGCAATAGCGGCACGATAGAAATTACTCTCACAAATGTATTACTTCAGTAACAGAACCATGTTATTCCAGGGTGTGTGATGTTAAGGTAAGATCCATGGTGCTCATCAATAGAAATGTGCTTAATTTTAGATGACATTCTTCCACAAGGGTACCACAGCCTACAAATTAATATAAATAATGGATGGAGACACTTGAACAATGACACAGAACTGTGAAGCAGAAATCTCTAATGATATACAGTAGTAATGAGTCATTACCAATACACACACAGTAACTGGTTGCCAAAATATTCTCAGACAGCAACTTTTCCATAGTGTGTAACAATACAACCGTTCATTTGTTATGGTCTCTAGATGTCCCCCAAAGCCTCAGGTGCTCACAAGTGGGGCTTTTTTTTGGGAGGTGATGGGCCATGACACTCATCAATGGATTAGTCCACTGATGACTTTACATCCAAAAGTGACATTGGGCGGTGAAGCCTGGGGGAAGAGGTGGTCACTGGCGGTGTGGCCTGGAAGGGTCTATCTCCCTCCCTCCTCCACTGATCCCTTTTCTCCCTGCTTCCTGCTGCCATGACATGGCCAAGCTGCCCCTGCCATGGACCTCTGCCATCCTGCCTTGCCTTGGAAGCAGCCAACTATGCACTGAAACCTCTTCACACTGAGAGATGAAAAAAGCCTTTCCTCCTCAGAGTTGTGGGTGTCAGGTATTGTATCTCAGCACTGAAAGGGTGACTAAGACATCATTTTTACATTATTCAAGGTTATCCACTGTAGCAAAACTTTTTTTTTTTTTTTTTTT